TTCACAGTTAATCCACCGCTGTCGGTGTATGTGTATGCGGGCTGCAGAGGAAGCCTTCGAAGACTGGTGGGAAAGATGCTCCTAGCTGCATTCACCAGTGCAGGGACCACGGAGTTGCTTCTCTCATGTTCCTGGAGAGAGAAATTGGACCCAAGAGAGGAAATGCAGCAAGGTGAATTCGGGCAGCTGTCTAAGAACTCCGACAACCAGAACTGTTCATCCATGGAATTAGCTTCCTGGTCATGGGAGGAGGAAAAGCGGAAACAGTCATTCCTTTCAGAGTCCTGTAGCCTAGGTCCCTTATCAGGGGTAGAGTTTGATCTGGGATTATGAACTTTACAGTCCTTCAAACTCCCAGGTTCCATTACATTCCATTGTGATCATCTGTTCTTCTGGCCTGCCCTGTTTTCATTTATCCTTCTTTTCGGGACCCCTTCCCACCGCCAGCCAGTGTGGTTTGCAACACTGTGGGCTTATGCCGTCCTCCTCTGCAGCCCCAAGATAGACGTATGTTCTCACCTGCCACTGTAACTAATCCAAGGAGGGGCATGACGCAAGTTAGTCTGATGAGAGAAGTCTCGGAACTTTGGTGCTTCTATTAGGAATAGAAGGGTTCTCTTTTGGCTGGAGTTGCTGAGCCAGAAGATGTAGACCTGGGACTTTCGGTGGCCATCTTGCCCTCTTGAGAGAGAAGCGCTGAAAAGGAAGTAGAGCCGAGAGATGGCGAGATGCGTGTTTGCTGGCCAGGTTTGCGAACCTGAACTGAGCCATGCCTGAGGTTAGGCTGCCTGGACTTTGAGCCAGTAAATTCCTACTTTTCTCAGGCTGGTTTGAATTGGACATGATTCAGTGATTCATTAAGACCTAAAACCCATTCCAGAGACCTAACCTCCCTAACTTTTGTGAATAAACACCTCCTAGCTCTTTTTTCCAAGGAGATTATGGCTGGTCTCATTTATACTACTTTAGGTGTTTAAAAGTGGTTGTTTTATGTGGTTTGTTTTGTTAGCATTTTGAAGTTTTAGCCCATTTTTGGCCTCACAATGCTATTATAAATTAAGGTTCTGGTTTACAGTTTTCACTCACATGACATCCATAATAGAGTTTCATATTTTTGGATGTAGGTAATCACACTTTCCCACCCAGAAGACTAAGGTGATGTATGTGTTTACCTTTGGAAAGTACGTGGAGAATTTTGCTATGGCAAGTATTCCAAGTCTTTTTCATCTTGATCACTAATACAAGATTTATGTTCGCACTCACAGAATATGACAAGCTAATAAATTAGACTAGCTGACAACCCTTCAATAAAGGAACTATTTTTCTACAGTTAACAGTCCTTTTTAGATCTTAATAAGCTTACTTAGTGTTAATCATCTTGTCACTGGCAAAACTGTCTCCTAAAGAATAGAAACTCTAATGAAGACTAGCCATATTAAAAATGCTTTTCTCCTTAGGCGTAATTCTTTCAGTGAAACCCACAAAATCAACACACTATACAAGCTGTCCTTATTTTTCATGGTAGCACAGAAGTATAGAAATGACTGAGCAAGTCATTCTTAATAACTGTGAGAAAAAATTACAATTATTTTTGTGACCTTTAAAAATTTTTGTCAAAACATTAAAATCTGTCTTACTGTTGATTGCAAATGCATAAGGAGAATTTAAAAATAGTAAAACTAATACTTAGTGTATTGTAATTTAAAACATTAGAAACATTGAGAATTAAACTCTTTACTTGTAAAAAACTGATAAAACTGTAGTTCAGACAGTGCTTGCCTTCTTTTCATCATATAACTTATGATGTGGAGCAGGCAACTTTTCTATGCCTTGGTGAATTGTTAAACTACTTTCTAAGTTTGGGTCAGCTTCCAACATTTTCTCCTTGCACTTGGTGTGAAGAGCAAATGGTGTGAAATATCTCCAAGAGTTCCTTATGTGTGAAATTTTTGCTGGTATCACTTCCTCTGGGACTTCAGCCTTTTATCATAAACAAAATGGGGGGGGGTGTCTGTCAAAATCCTGCCTATAAATCAAGTCTAAGACTCTGCCAGCACTGAATAAATAGACCTACTTAGACTCCATAGAGAGTTATCTTGAAACCTAGAATCTGGACGCAACTCAGTGTTAGAAATTATAGTGCTTTCCTGCATTTTCAGTATTTCTTATTTAGATCATGCTCTCATTTTATGGTATGCACTCATGTTCCTCATCATTCTCCAAGTTAGGCTTGGCAGAAACAATTATCCCCACTTTAGAGATTAAGCAAACGAGGCCCAAAATAATGAAATTGTAGCAGTAATTAGCAGGATGTTCACCAGCCCCATTTCCTCTTTCTGGGCACAGAGCTAAACTACATTTCCCAGCCCCTCATAAAGAGGTAGGGCCACGTGACTAGTTCTCACCAAATGAATGTGAGGGAAGGAATGTGTTATTTATGGGCCAGGACAATTAAAAGAGGGTGAGACTTTTCCATGCATTCCTTCCTTCCCCTTCTACAGTGACCCTGGACACCACCTGTGAGGATGGTAGAACCACAGTGGGAAGAGCCTGGCTCCCCCCCAAGTCACCTTTTAGAGGAAATCCATCCAACCTACTTGGAACTCTGACATAAGTGACAAATCCTTGTTTGTAATGTTAAGCCACTGAGATGGGAGGGCTTTTTATTATGACAGCCTACCCTGACTAATGCAGAAATGGTTAAGTGATCTGTCCAAAATCATACAGCTTGTCAGTAACAAAGGCGGATCATGAAAACAAGCCTCTCTGATCCTGTGTATGTATAAAGGCTTGACTATTCTCATGGTCTAAGGAGTTGACAGATCTTGTGAAGAGGTGGTTGTACAAAAGTTAGAGAGCAAAACAAATACAGGCGCTCCTTTTCTAAACCCACCCATCTAGAGCTCCTCGTGATGACTATTCTTGGTAGCTGGTGAATGCATCCTTTGTATCTGGTCCATATCAAATATATCAAGAGATTACAACTATAACTATATTGTAAATTAGCAAAGATACTTAGGGGCTTTTGGATTTCCTCTGTCCATAGGAAGAAAGTGAGGTCTTTTTTTTTAACCAGAAAATGTGATACAGAGGCCAACAAATGAGAGTAAACTTTGTTATTATAGGCTTACTGGCACAATCTTGAGATCATATCTCAAGGCTGCTTTTAGGAAACACTTCTATGTGGATCTTGTTACATTTCATAGGGATGAGGCATGGGCTCTCTGTCCTTCAATGCAGTAGAGCAAGGAAAGGAAAAATGCCATATCAGGAAGGAAGGGTCTGGTCATAATAATGCTGCCCTTCATCATTTTTATTTTTCAGAATCAGCTGTTTGTTTATACTGGAACTTATAAAAATATGGAAATGAGAGAACTGACTCAACCAGGATATTAATTTCTCAATGAAAAAAATTAGAAATTTGGAGAAGCTACATTATTTAGCATGATGCCAGTGGCATTAAGGAGATGATCAGTTCAGTGCAGTCAGAAATAGCTTTGGAAAAATATTTATCCAAGGACTATGGCAGGTTTCACAATGGGAAAGTTGGTCTTTGAAAAGGTCATATTTATTGCTTGGCATTTGACTTGCTCACAATCAGCATGATCTCCCATAAGACAGGGCACATAGTCTCAAGTGGTTCACCCTCTCTAGGACCTCTCCTTAATTATCTGAAGTGTTGACAGGTCAATAACAATTATTTGAAAAGTGTAGAAGTGTTTTCCCAAATGCCATTTGTCAGAATGTTAGAGTTCTTCTCCCCACTCCTCTGCTAGCTCTCCTTTTTCATAATTTCTGCCTAGAGGCAAACTTGTTGGTCATCACTAGTAAGAACATTTTAAAGAGTTGTCAAAAGCACTTTCAGAAGCATTAATAACTAAGTTTGCTAAGTACACAATCAACTTTTAATCACTATCTCTTCAACCACCTTTCCCCCTTGTTTAAAAAATGTGTACTATATATTGAATACATATATATATTTGTATCAAATGTGTCAGTTATAAAGAACAACAATGGAGTGAACACCCATTTATAAACATTACCAGTATCCCCAAAAGTCCCTACTGCCATCCACCTCCCTCCCCACAGAAGAAACCTTTATCCCACATTTGTTTTTATTATTCCCTATGTATGTAGCCCTAAATTTTATATGTATGTATCCCTAAATAATATAATTATATAGTGTGACTTGGCACACTTTTGTATTTCGTATCATTGTAGTTATATAATATATTGTAAGAATATTATATATTCTTTTGCTTCCCCTCCTCCATTTATGTACCTGAGATTCAACCTGTGGATGCATGTAGCTCCTATATTGGTTTGCATTGTATGAATTTGCCATAATTTATTTATCCATTCTACTGTTGACGTATATTTGGGTAGTTTCTATTCTTTTTTAAAGCAATAGAGCCATAAACTCTGCTGTATGCATCTCACACTACACACATGCAAGAGATGCCCTGCAGCAGTAGATCTCACACTTCATTGTGCATTAGCATTGACTGGAACACCTACAAAAATCTCAGACTTTATCCCCAAGGATTCTGACTAAGAATCCTTCTGGGGTGGAGTCCAGGCATCTGCATCTTTACAACCTGCCATTGATTCTGAGACACATGGACCACCGACTTTCCCTCTGAGAACCACTGTTTGATGGCCATACCTAGTAGACGGCCACATCGTAACGTATGCATATGTATAACTACTTTGAAATTCAAAATTAGCTTCTAAAGTGATTATGCCTCTGATATTCCCACCAAAAAAAATGTGAGAGTTTCCGTTGTTTCACATCCTTGCCAGTATCTCAACGGTTTTCACATTTGCTAATCCTGTGGGTATGAAGTGTGTTTCATTGTGGTTTTCATTTGTATTTCTAATTATTCATGAGATTAGGCATCTATTCATATTGTTTCACTTGACATTCTTGTATCCTCTTTTCCTAAAGTACTGTCCAAAACTTTTTCCTAATTTTCTGTTGAGTTATCTTTTTCTTATTGATTTGTACGACAGATTTCTCCCGTTAGTCAGAGATGTTGATGGAAGAGAATGCAGAAGAGATGAGGTATGAGGAGGACCCGACCACCATTGCTGGCTTTGAAGATGAAGGGGTCCACGAGCCAAAGAATGTGGAGTGTGAGTGGCCTCTTTAGAAGCTGAGAACAACTGTAGCCCAAAAGCCAGCAAAGAAATGGAGACCTCACTCCTGCAACTGCATGGAACTAAATGTTGCCAACAACATGAGCCAGGGATCACATTGTCCCCCAGAACCTTCATAAGAATAGCAATCCTGCCACCTTGGTTTTAGCCTGGTAAGACCCATGTGGACTTCTGACCTATAAAACTGTGAGATGATAAATTGTGTTTGGTGTAAGCTGCTAAGTTTGTGTTAATTTGTTATGGCAGCAATAAGAAACTAATACCAAAAAAAATGTGAGCTTTCCAGTTGAGTGCAGTGTTTCATATTTACCCACTAGATGAAGTTTCTTTTTTTTTCTTTAAACTAACATCTTCTTTATTGAAGTCAGAAGCATTTTCAAACGTATGAGTGAAAGCATAAGGAAAGTGCCATATACTTAACTCTAAGAATGCTGTATAGAAACCGTCTTTCAGCTAACATCTTCTTTCATGAAGATAGAAGCGTTTTCTTTTTTTAAAATTTTTTTTTATTTAAATTCAGTTAGCTAACTTATAGTACCTCATTAGTTTCAGATGTAGTGTTCAAAGATGAAGATTCTAATTATGTTTAGATCTACTGTACTCTTACAGATTATCTGTCTTACAAGTAATTGAGAAAGGTACAGGTGGATTTTTTTCAGTTTCTCTTTGTAGCTTTGTCAATGTTTGCTTTGTGTGTTTTAAAGCCATATTATTAAGAATATAGTTTTTAAAAATTGTTGTAGTTATTTATAATTGTCATATTTTTAATCTACCCTGAAAATCTTTGTCATTTTAACTGGATAGTTTAATCTTTTAAATTTATCGAGATTAGTGAGATGTTTGGGTTCACTTATTGCTCCCTCATTTTGTGTTTTTCATTTGTCCTTCCTATTGTGTTTATCTTTTTTTCTCCTTTCTTGCCTTTCTTTTAGGTTTGATCATATTTATTTTTCCCTCATTCTCTTTTCCCTCTCTCCAACGTTGGTAGTTTTATACTCTATTGCTGTACTTCTTCTGACTTCCTTAAATGGATAAATAATTAATGATTTTTAAATATGAAGTTAATATTTTACCCTTTTTAAAACAATAAAAGGAGCTTAGCACATTTTAATTTGATCATTCTTGTCCTAACTTATTTGCTATTTTCTTCCTATATCTTAGTTATATCTCATTTTTATCCATCCCACAAATTAGACAATTACTCTTATAAAGTAAATTTTCATTTAGTTTTATCCATATATTTATCAATTTCTATCATTTTTTCCTTGAACATCAAACTTTCATTTGTGATCATTTTTATCCTGCCTGAAGAATATCACTTAGAATTTCCTTTCATGCTGGTATTTTGATGGAAAACTGTGATTTTGCTCATCTGAAAGTTTCTCTACTCTGTTCCTGAAAGATAATTTTATTGGGTATAAAATGCTATTTTAACAATTATCTTTTTCCTCTCAGAGCAGTAGGTCATTTCTTTGTCTTCCGGATTGTGTTGTGGCTGTAGAAAAACCAGGTGTCAGCCCAAGTGACATTCCTTTTACCGTAGCTGGTTTTAATATCATCTCCTTTCCCCCCATGTTTTGAGATTTTATTTTGTTGTCCACAGGTGAATTTCTCCTTATTTATCCTGCTTGAGATGCTTTGGGGTCTTGGAATTGAAGATTAGTGTCTTTTGTCAGTTCTGGAAATTTCTCATCCATTATCTTCTGAATCTTACGTTTTCTTTCACCTCTTTCTGTAACCCTGGTGACACATAAGTAAGACATTTTCACTCCATATTCAATATAACTTAGCCTCTCTGTTAATATTTACATCTCTTCTCAACTGTTTTGATCCATGTCGCATTGTGAATAATTTCTTCAGCTCTGTCACTTTGCTAGTTCTTTCTTGAGCTGTATCTGTTCTGTCCACTGAGTTTTTATTCCAGTTATTTGATATTTTATTTCTAGATATTCCATTTGGTTCTTTTTCAAATCTACTTTATCATTTTTAAGATTCCATGTCCTTTATTCATATTAAATATATTAAAACATAATTGTTTTATTTTGCGTCTGAAATTCTAATATTCTCCTGATTGATATTTCTGTTAGCTGTCATCTATGACATCTTGTTTCTTTCTTTCTTTCTTTCTTTCTTTCTTTCTTTCTTTCTTTCTTTCTTTCTTTCTTTCTTTCTTTCTTTCTTTTCTTTCTTTTCTTTTCTTTTCTTTTCTTTTCTTTTCTTTTCTTTTCTTTTCTTTTCTTTTCTTTTCTTTTCTTTTCTTTTCTTTCACAGCGAGAGAGGGAACACAAGCAGCGGGAGTGGGAGAGGGAGAAGCAGGCTTCCCGCGGAGCAGGGAGCCCGACGCGGGGCCCGATCCCAGGACCATGGGATCATGACCCGAGCCGAAGGCAGACGCTTAACGACTGAGCCACCCAGGCGCCCCCATCTTGTTTCTTTATTGATGATGATGATGATAATATCATTATTTTACCATGAACTCCAATTTCATGGATATTTTGAAAGCCTTGGTTCCAAGTATGTTTCTCTATAGAGGGTTTAATATTTGCTTCATCAAGGTTCCTTACACCGTGTTAAACTAAATTTTTGGCCTGACCTTTTTCAGAGTATTCTGAAAGTATGATTTGTATTGCAAATCTGTATGTGGGCTTATCTGTGGTTATAAAAAGTTTTGTTTCCCCTCTTCCCATTGCCAAGGTCAGGAAAGGCAGTTTTCTTTTAGTCCCCCTCTGCAGGTGTTTATTTCTAGTTCACTGTTTCTCTTATGATATAACTCTTGAGGATCCCAGATTTATGCAGGGATCTCCTATTAGACTGTTGACCTTGGGTGAGCTATAAATTTTATCTTCTGTCTCCCTTTGCCTATACAATAGTTAAAATGGAAGCTCAAAGTCACCAGAATTCATCACAAGCTCTCCAGAATGAAAGCTGACCTCATTGCTCTACAGACTCCCACTTCCACTATTTTTTTTGTCATCTGAGGATTCCTTACTTTATTTCCAGCTCAACAATGCATTTCTAAAGGAGTTTTTTAATAATTTATCTAGGGAGATCTATTTGGGGTTTCTAGTCCACCATATTATTGGAAGGAAATTCCCTCAAAAAACCCATTATATTCATTTACCCACCGAAGAGTTATTGCTAAGCACCCGGTATCTAAAGAATAATAAAACCCAGTTTCTGCTTTGAAGAGATGGCAGTCTTGGGGGCTGGGTTCTCTGGGATTTCTTCTCTGAATTAATAACATTTTCTGCATTCAATTTATGTGAGACAGATAGCCAGTATTTTCTCAGAAAGAGAGTCTCATAGCTATGTAATATGAATGCATAAATGTTTGTTGAATGAATGCACAAATTAAATATTAATTGATGGATGAAATAAGTTAGCGTTAGTCGTGTCACACTAAAATCTTTTTTTCCTGAGCCTCATGCAGTTCAGGAAGTACAGAGGAGAAGCCTTACCCAGGAAACCAAAGGGCAGCCAGGCTCACAACCCCTGCAGCATTTCTGCTTTGTTTTGTTTTTCTCAGATAAGGTTTTGTTAGTTGTCTGTGGCACAGTCCTAATGAGAACTGAGAGGCATTGGTACATAACATATGTTGAACTGTTCCAGTTGGATCTAATACATCACGTTCGGTAACAACTCCTTCAGTCTCCTAATCGCTTCCTGAGTGAAGATAACGTCTCATGACAGGCCCACACGCTGTGGCAGAGGGGCTGAGGGGAAGACAAACCTTAGCATTTCTAACTCATGCTTGGAAATACAGGTGATCATTAATTTCCGTACAATTGCTTATCATGCGGAAACCTTTTAAATTTAGTCTTGATGATTCTGATAGGAGTTGTTGGGAGGGCCTGAGGAATAATTAATACAGGGTACCAGCAAAATTAACATTTTATATCACTGTAAAGACATGTAGAACCATCCTGTAGCTGATGGGTAATTTGGGTTGGGCACAAGTTGAAACCCTTCTTCACTGAAACAAGAGATTCTTCCTTTATCTCAAATATAATTATCCATTGAAATGTCATGGGTCAATTTATTAACACTTTATTCATTGGGGTATAACCTTTATTAGGCTTTATTGCTACCAGAAATTATATCCTACACAAATACAATAGAGATTTAAATGTTCTGGAGAATGAACTGATGGTTCCTGCCTTTACGTTGTCGCTCAGTAATGGACCTTGACCAGCAGAAGATTTGATAAGTATAAAATATTACTGCTTGATGCTAATTTGGTTCCTTTTTAATGACTGATAATCCTTGTCGATTTAGTGAGATCGTCACAATCCACTACTGTTTCCCAGCCTGGGTGTGATTGTAACAGGAGCCATTAAGTGTGTGTCTGCATAATAAAATTAGTCAGGGAAGCTATGTACATTGTTTCCAGGCCTCTGGATTTCCATTATAGTAGTGAGGCTTGTTGAAGTGAAAAGTCTGCCATCAGCTCAACCAAGTCCCCGGCTCCTTGGATGATAAGCAAAGGACTGATGATGACTGTGTTAAGAAATCAGTTCTTAGAGTCCTAGCAAATTCATCATGTATAAATAGGAGCTGTAGATTTTGAGCTAGGAGAGATGGTTTGGTCACTGATTTGCCTAACAAAGCTTTACACAGCTCCAAAGCTTAAATACATAATCAGTCTTTCACAGCTGAAATTTTTAAGGGAGAAGCCTCTTTTCGGTTTAGAGATTTATCACTCCTTCAGAAGGTTGCTGTATTAAAGAAGTTGGAATTGCTTGACATCTTTGAAAATAATTTAAGTGTATGATCTGATCCTACTGCCCCCTTGTAGGGATTTCTGGGGCTTGAGGGGAAGGTGAAGATAAGGACCTCATCACTATGTAAAGGCACTGAAATAAATAAGTGCATCTGCCCCGTTCCCCTTCCTGGTCCCCCAGCTTATATGGGATCAAGTTCAGATTCCTTTCTTCTAAAGCTGCTCTCAGGGGAGTGCCCAACAACTACCTCCCTGCAGCCTGGAGCCTGCCAGGAAAAAAGTGGAGACTTTGTGCCAAAAAAGGACCCGTTTTGCTTCTGAATTAAGTAGCCCTCGTTTTAACAGGCCAGAAATGTATGTTCTACATGCTCAGAAAGTCTGGATCGAGAGCAAGAAGGTTATTGAATGTAAAGGCAACTTCGGGACCTTCCT